TCACTCACACACAAGTTGATCTGCGAAGAGGTGTTGCATCCAGCGGACATGGGGGCACCACCTCGGTCATCCAGTGTTCATTGGAGATTGGCGGTGGATGTATGATGTGGTCATCAGGCTGGCTGAAATCCAGCGAGCACGTAGCTGGTGCGGATAATGTGACTCGAAGACCGTGAAGCAATGAACGAAGATGCCCATAGTCAGGGTCTTCTGAGAATGCAAGAGAACACGTGTAGATGAGAATACTTGCAAACTCAACAGGGATTCCATCACATAAAACTTCGATGGTGGTGTTAACTTTCCACTTGAGTATAGAACAGCTAGAGAGCTTCTCATGGTCACTAGTTAACCATGGAAGGGAGCCACACAACAAATAGATCAACATGTATGTAAGCAACTCAAGATCGTCACGACGACCCAGGTCAACTCCTAAGTGATTATTGATCAAAGTGAATGCAGGAGTGCCAGTGAGATGTTGATTCTGATGAAATGGGATATGGACTTTGGTTGCAGTGTCCCAGTATTCCTTTGTGACACCAAAATCGATAATAAATGCAGTGTGCTTCAAATGGCTAAGACCCACCAAGACATTCTGCAGTTTGATATCACTGTGAACATAATTGTGTGAGTGGATGTATTCAAGATGTTAGAGCTGGGAAAGGGTTAGCCTATCTGCAACAGCCGAGCACAGACCAACTGACCAGCTGGTCTCCTAGATTCACGACAGTGTGAAGGCTGAATTTTTGATTGTGTGATAGGAAAAGATCGTGCAATGATGGCCCAAGGAGGTCGAGAACCAAAGCATGATATGCTGACTCCCTACCAAACCAGAGGGCACGGGGTATTCTGATTCCACCTTCAAGTCGTTTTAAAATGGCGTATTCATGCTGTAAAGAAGATGACTGGTTGGTGATGAGTTCGAGTTTGATGGCAACTGCATCGTCTTTGATAATGTTCCTTGCGTGGTATACAACAGCTAAGCAGGGTACATACAGAGACTCAAAAAAGTAATGCACAGAATCATTTTCTATGTATCTCCACCAAAACACGATACTTTTCTGTAATGTAAATTGTGAACTGTAGCCTGAGGTGTCCTCTACAAGGGCCTAAAGTTAGTAAAATAAAATATTGATAACTGCTTTCAGTAGAGGCAGAATATCAAAAATGCCATTTTTCAACTTCTCAGGGGATTTATTTTTTGTCTTGTAACCTTACCCAGTTTATAGAGCATGGTGTTCTGAGTAAAATATCACTTTTAATTGAAGGAAAATGTTGAGTCCTTGTGGAGATATATCCATTGTAAAAAGGGGCTACATGCAAAATTTGGGTGTAAACACTGCTAAATTTTGCATGTAGCCCCTTTTTACAATGGATATATCTCCACAAGGACTCAACATTTTCCTTCAATTAAAAGTGATATTTTACTCAGAACACCATGCTCTATAAACTGGGTAAGGTTACAAGACAAAAAATAAATCCCCTGAGAAGTTGAAAAATGGCATTTTTGATATTCTGCCTCTACTGAAAGCAGTTATCAATATTTTATTTTACTAACTTTAGGCCCTTGTAGAGGACACCTCAGGCTACAGTTCACAATTTACATTACAGAAAAGTATCGTGTTTTGGTGGAGATACATAGAAAATGATTCTGTGCATTACTTTTTTGAGTCTCTGTAGTATGTTGAATTTTTACAATTGTAGTCAGCTTGTGAATGACGTACCATATGAACCGGAGCCCACAACATGTCCGAGTCTGAATCTACCATCAACTTGTATTGGAACCTTGTGGTTCATGGTATGTGATAACTCAAGCCTTGACGAGTTCAGGATCTAACAGTGAGTCTAACTGGGAATGAGACTTAGCTTCAAAAAAGAAAATGTTTTTACAAATCAGCTTGAGCCACCTTAAGCTGGCTTAAACCAGTTTAAGCCGATTTTTGGCTTACAGTTGGTTGTGGCACTTCATGCAGCTAATGAACCGGACCAAACTATATACAAGTGGCCTGGCTCACTAGGATAGCCAAAATACTGACAAACCGGTGTAGGTTACAACTCAGAGTGGTGCTATAGGCTCCAAACTGATATCTTTATGTTGTAGGTCGTGCACTGCCTATGCTATACTTGTGGGACAAGTGCGTTCAACCCTAAAGGGGAAGCTAGTGCAGCAAAGGTCTAGAAATGGACGCAGAAGGTGCTGCTTGTCGGCCGATGCGAAGCGTGGCAAAGCGGCGGGTGCATGCGTGTAAGCGTGGGAACATAGCAGTCGGCTGAAGGTGTGGGAAAGACGCGGCTGCGAAGCGGCCAATGCGCGAAGGGTTCAGATGATAATCAAGATGAAGGACAATAGGAATAGATGTAGAGCGAGGCAATAACAGATACAATGCAAGCAGTAAACGGATACTGATTGCCAATAGCTACCAACTGTAGGCTAATGGGAGTTTGCTACTGGAATGTCCAGAAAACAAGCTACTGAATGATATGTACTGCTAGTGTTTAAGTATTGCACTAAGCGCTGTCACATGGAACTGAGCTGACGTGCTACCAAGTTAGGTATGTAAAGCTATATGTAAATAAGGGTCTATGACGAAATAAAGGTGGTGTACCATTGGGTTGGTATTGGACTATGGATGGGTGCAGAACATTGGCCGATGAAGCGTGAGAAAAGCGGCCACTAAGTGCGGCTGTGCGTGCGCGCGGGAACGTTGCAGCCATCGTGGGAAAGTAGCGGCCGCTATGTGCGACTCACGGGAAAGCTGCACTTCATGTAGGAAAGTACTAGGGTGCTGAAGGATACCACAAAAATAGCCTCTTCGAGGCTGTAAGGACTTCCAGTCCTACACCGGCAAATCCCAGACCAGAGCGGGCTGTAGCCAAACTGCAGTCGTACTAGTTATGAGCATCCTAGCTGCACTGGACATGTTTTTTCAGGCTTAATATCACACACAATGTTCAAATCAATTAGGTTTCAATTGGAACTGGGTATCAGGATGAGTACAGAAGGTGTAAGATGTAAGGAATGAGTGCTATGTTACTATAAAACAATGACTGGAATTGGCCTCAGCAGTCTGACTCGGACAATATGCAGTGCATATTGTCCGAGTCATTTTGGTATCTCTAACCGATGTCGTTGACTAGATGCTACTATCCAATCTGTTGTTCTTATAGTCACTGCTCCCAAGGGTTTTCTGGGTCCACAGGTTGCCGACACGAGCAGCGAGTCAACTGTCTCCACAAAGTCAAGTAGCATGCCACGAACAAGCTGAACTTCTAGACAACCCCGTGGCGGCCTGCGAGCAGTAAGTCCACAAAATCAATTGACGTAGGGTCATGAACAGAGAGAACAGATGATTCTATCGCACATAGCGTTGAACTTCAAGAGCTAAAGTATGTACAGGAGATCGAGAATTACAAGTTTGAGAGCTAAGTACAGGTGCGAAGTAGAAGTCACGTGACTACTTATATCACAGTTGAGGTCTCAAGACTTGCGTCGATCAAGAATGGAATAGAGAGCAAAGTCAGCGATAATGCGAAGAAGAAAAGACTGGGAACCTCGAGCATGAGGTAGTTGAGGCAAGAAGGCAAAAGTACAGCACAAACCACAAACAGCGAAGCAACTACTGCAGTACTTGTGCAAAGTGCTCACACTCAGTTGCACAAAAGGCACAACTCCCCAGGTAAGAGACTTGCAACAGTAGATTTGGGTGATTTTACTCGTAACTGAACAATTCTACTTGTAACGACGGTTAAAAGAGTCCATGGATGATTGGGTCATGGCTATGTGAATGTCTGAGAACAATGATGTGACAAAAGAGGAAGGATGGAGTCAATTTTATGCCAATATTCTAAGAATTCCTGGGATTTCCAATGGCCTTGTACTGCCACAACATCTGGTGGAACTCCTCTGAGTAGGAGTTCTGTTGCCCCTCCGGTTCTAAAGCAATGACCTGTGAGCTCCAATAAACTGGCTCCTTTCCAGACTTGGTTACAGCATGTGAGGAACCACAGTCGAGTCATAGGTGCCCATCCCCCGCTGGCTGTCTCAAAGGCAAATAGAGGTGCATGGGGAGGAACAATTGCATTGGCTGATATATGGTGGTTAAGGGCTGTTACAGGGTTTGTGAAGTCGTCAACGTGAGACAAGATGATTTTGGCGCCTGCGCCAAGTGTTGTCTTTGACCAAGGGATGGAGAAAGATGACCAAGATACGCCGTTGGCAGGGGATCTGCGAGTTATCTGGACGGCACATGCAACATGACGGGATGCATCAAAGGAGTTAGCAGAGTTGATGATGAGTTCGCCAAGTCTAAGTTTTCAGGTGAATAAAATGGAAGATCAAATGTTCAGATGACTGACCTACAACATGACCAAAAGGCGATAGATGCCACTGCAAAAACAGACACATCAAATGTGTTCGAGAGGTCAAGATTACAGTAAAGCATGTGCATATGTTCGAGTGTAACTGGAGGTCTACGCAGACATTTCGACACCTCTGGGACAAGTTTCCTCACCCCGGCTGTAGACATGTGTAGTAAGGCGTGACCATGCCATGGCACGCCATGCATGGTGTGCCAAAAATGTAGACCAGCGAGCCAATTCTCTACAGTCATTGTGGCAATTTTACTGGCCCAGGATGCGACAAAAAGGGCGAGAAGATTATCTGAAGCTGGCATGCATGAGGACTCTGGTATCTTCCGAGAGTTGCAAAATTGATGAAAACGAAGTAATCTGGCACCATAATTTTCTTGCATTTTGGTTCAACAGATATTAGCAAGACATTGAAAAGATGAATAATGTCATCAAGAGCGAACTCCTTGACGAGCTTTGAATGAAACATGTCTGAAATGGGCACCCTCCAATGGTGCAAATGGTCTCTTGCAAGAACATGCAGTCTGAATGCAGATGGTTCGATTTCACACCCTTTTTCGGTTTTCTAGGTTTTGGAAGCTTGCAAATAGGGTGAGACGAAATGGGCAGCACCCTGAATTGAGAAGGCCTGCCAAGTGCTTCACGAATTTGGGCCAAGTCATCTGCATTGTTGGAAAGAGCTGATGTGCTGGGTAGGGTCATGTCAAACATAAGGCAAGATGAATGATTTAAGCTCCTCTGGGAGCGCAATTGGAGGGTAGGTGTAAAGAAGGAGGCCCCGACCTCGCTGCGTGAGATCATGTTGGCCTTGTTCTGTGTGGATTCAACATAAGTAAAAATGTGAGCGACGTTCAAACACATTGCAATGGCTTTGGAACGCTGGATGCAGAGATTGACTTGAAAATTGCGGCTTTGACCACGCTGGAAAGCCCAAATAACCCCTTGATGATCTGAATAAATCAGGATGCAAGTGTTTGCCCATCCTAGGTCGAACAGAGTTAGAATTGCCAACTCGACCACAACCACTTCCAACCAACCAATATCTCGGCCATGACCTTTCCAACCATTTTGTAAGGTCCACGTGTTCCACCTCCCATCTAGAGTGATGCTGATACCCCAGTCAGTTGATGCATCAACCCAAAGGTTGATATCTTTTGGTAAACCCTTTGGAACTAAGTTGTGAGGTACCAGATCTGATGAAAGGACGTTGAACCACCACTTTAAGTCAGATATGACTGAAGGAGGGGGGTGGCGAGAGCTAAAATGTGATGGGAACATCAAGATGAATGTGCTGAGGTTGCAAAGGTACAAATGGCCTCTAGGAACGGTGAATGTGACATGTGACAGAGTACCATTGATACTCATTGCTTCTTTCAAAGAGATGCTCCCCCCTGAAGCAAGGCATGACAGGATGTCTGCGAGCTTGTGCAAATACTTCTCGTGCTTCTCGTTTGGTAAAGAAATGGTACATAGGCTGAGGTCCCAAAGAAGACCTAAATAAATGAAAACTGATGCGAAATTGTGCCATTTCTGAGGGTGCCATAGGACTCCGAGGGCTTTATATTTGGAGTAAATATCTACGAGCCCATGGTGATAGAGATACGGGGTCAAGGATCTGTCAGGAAGCGCAGTGCTGCTGCTGAAAGCGTAATGGAAGAAGGTATGGTCATCTACCCATTTTTTTTATGGGGCCCAGGTCCATGTGCTGAAGAATGTCCACTGTAGCATCAGCTATGTGACCTTGAATACCACCGGCTGTAGAAAGCCTGAATGGAAACACATGGTCGATGAAGAGGCTGCCGTTCACTTCGACCATGAGGAAACATTTGTGTTTGGGCCAGACTGGGATTGTACGATATGCTGCTTCAATGTCTAATGTAGCTGCCTGGGTACCAGGTGGCACACAAGCAACCTGTGAAAATGTGAACATGTGAATGACAAGAGCACCTAAGTGAGTGCAATAAAGGCTGAATGAGCCATACAACATGAGCTGAAGCTGACAATGCTGGACAAAATGTGCCGAGGCTATGACACCGAAGCGATTTTGAGAATGACAAGGAGGTGTTACAGTCTACTGTAACATCTACAGAAGCCCCTGCTCTGCTAGACTCCCGACGTGGCGGCACACTGCTAGAACTTAGAATGACAGTGGTCTGGACCACTGTGACACCACCCCTGGCCTAGAAAGCCTTGTACCTGATCCCCAGAAGGCTGTACACCTCATGGACACCTAGACCGGCGCATGTTGCCTCATGCTGCCTCATGAAGATCCGGAGCGCCTCAAGGCACCTCATGTTTGATCAGATCCTCATGGATGACCTCATGTACTGTTATCTATGACTCACCATGACTAGCATAGATCCCTAGATACAGACTGAGCTTGAACCCTTATGTACTATACATATATAAGTAGACAGATCATCATAGTAGTTCTTTACTTTGATATCCTAGGTCCAACCCCCAGATTGTACCAGAACTAGCTTGTCTAATCCACTTGCTTCTTTGTACCTTGTGACTGCACTTCTAAGTCACTCCCCACACCCTAGCCGTATTCTCGTCAGCCCTTCATCTCGACGAGGTCCGTGGACCTTACTGACATTGACAAAGAGACCTGTCGACCTTCGATCAACTTGTAAGACACCCTCGACATCCACCAGATGCATTTGCGCTTGTGTCGAGAAGACCTATCCTAGGCCATAACAAAATATCAAAGTCACCTTTTTGCACCCAGCCTTCTGCCTGCGTCCCCGTTCAAAGAAGAAGAAACCACCGACCACACCTTGCCTTGACCAGCAATGATGACCAGAATGATGACTACCCCCGCATTCCTATTGACGATCCCTGAAGAAGGACGTCGCGACATCGTGATGACTCCGAAGAAAGCATCGATGAAGAAAACCACCGTGAGTTGGCGAGAAAAGAATCAATTGAAGACTGCCTTGACTCAGTGAGAAAAGAATGATGTCCAGAAACCCTCATCCATACAACAGAACATCGCTGTGGCCTCCCGCCTCACAGGGAAAGAAATCCACATCCTCCTCAAAGAGGGACAATGTTTTGGTTGCCGTAAAACTGGACACAAGACCGGTGATAATCACTGCCTGATTAGGAGAAAGATTATTGATGAAGAACCGATCAGATCTGTAAAGACTATTGGTAAGAAGAAAGAATTTAGGGTTCCCGTAACCTTGATTTCAGTGAAACAAGAAGCACCAATAATGACCAGCATGATCATTGACTCGGGTGCCTGCAGGTCCTTCATTAACAAGGACTTCTGCAAGAAGCACGGCATCTCATCGCACCAGCTGTGGAAACCACTCCCGGTAACCAACACTGACGGATCTAATATGGCCGGAGGGCCTATCACCAGATACTGCATCCTCATGGTCAAGATCGATGAACGGGTATTAACTGAAAAGTTTTACCTAGCCGAACTTAGCTCAACAGATAAGTTCTTGCTTGGATGACCATGGCTAATCACCCATAACCCAAGCATCGATTGGACAGAGTCTACCCTGACTCTTACCACCACGTCTGATTCTTGATGTGTGGAGAAAGAAGTCAATCAAGAAAGGAAGAAGAATGGTTTGGCACCCCTCTTCCAGATAAAGAAAACCAAATGAGTGGCTAACCGTTCGCTGATGAAGAAGAAACTCCGAAAAGAGTATAAACTAGCACTGGCATTGGCTATTAAGCCCTCTGCCCAGATTGTGGAAATCCCCGAAGAAGGACCCACCCCACAGATTGTACTGGCTTCTCAGCCACAGATCCCCGCACCACAGCCCACAGAAGCTGTGAGGACACTGGTTGCCAAGGCTACAACATCCTGGGCACCATCACCTACCCCAAAGAGTCCATTCCTGACTCTTAATGAAAAGAAGAGGCCCGCTACTGCCTCAGAACCGAGTTTTAAATTCCCAGCAGAACCCGTGTCTGTCCTTGGAAAGGGACGCACTATTGTCATGGCAGAACCACCCCCTGCCAAGATTCCTAGACTGGCCCTTGAACCAGAGAAAACTCAGAAGTTTGAATTTTCTGGAGAACCGGTATCCGTTCTCGGAAAAGGAAGAGCCGTCTTCACGGCAGAACGACCGGCAACTAAGAAAGTCCGGTTAAATGATGAAGAAGTACCGGCCACTGGTCCGGAGACAACTCAGGAACCCGTCCCCATCCACATGCAAAATATGCCTATGATGGATCATGAAGACAATGAACCAGGCACTATTCCCACCCCTGCGACACCCCCTGTCACCGATGTAGTAATGTCATCGGTCGACCCCAATAATAACCGGGTCAAAAACTACTTCGATATGGTAATTCAATGTCTGAACACCAGACCTCTGACACCCCCGGTACTCCTTGAACCAGCCTCGTTGGCTGATGATTCAGACTCCGAAGAAGATTTCAGATCTGCATTGATCCAAACAATTGGTGATTTCATCACTGTTGTCCCTTCTGATGACCCTGACTGCGGAGATCTCGAATTGGATTTCTGATTCAATTAATTGTGGTAGATTAATGTCCTAGTGATGGGGTAAATTCTCATTGTTTTTACCTTTTCCACACCTTTTTCTATCTTAGATCTCTACCCCTTTCGACTTCGCCGACATACCTCCAGCATGAGGATAAACTGCGCCCGAGTCCGGCATGACTATAAACTGTGCACCTATCCTTCACGATGTAAAACTGAGATATGGTCCGAGAAGACCTTAAACTATGATCGTCTGAGATGACATAAAACTAGATCTTCCTCGCTAGACGACCCCAGACACCCTTCGGCCCCTATGCCTGGAACCCCTATCCTCGACCTCGAGTATTAACAAAAAAAGGTCAAGACGACGCTGAAAACTAGATCCCCTTTGACATCTGCGTTAAAGACACCTTAACAAAAGATCAAGAAGACAACAAAGATGAGGGAACTCACCTGAGAAACTCCTGCAAGCCTTATGGCCCTTATCTTCCATGATCGTCCAGAAAGACGCAAAACTATCATGAGATGAACCTTTGGAAACTCCTGCAAGCCCGGAGATCCTCTAGATCGGCTTGACCCAGACTTCTAACAAAAGACAAAGGAACATGCCCACCCCATCATGGCAATGATTAAACACCCTCTGATAACAATTAGAACATGAGGCGCTGCATGCCCTCACTGATTGAACTCTGATAGTGAGTCACTCAAGTTTAAGTCAAGACTCAAGCGGAGCTTGGAACGACCTGGAGAAACATATAAGACACTCTCCCTACGGTTTACATTCCCTCAGAAACCTCCTACAAATTATGACGACTCCCACCGAAACTCCTACCACTGTTACTCTGAAGGACTCCAACTATGGACAAATCCTCAGAACGATAGAGAATTGCACGTTCAGCGAAACCGCTATTCTGACCCCCACGTACTCCCGAGAGATCGACAACATCCTCGGAGACATGAATGCAACCCTCGCGTCCGGCACTTCCCTTGCTGTACACATCATCAAAACTACAAAACTGCTAGAAGATGCAGCTCTTCGTACAGACTTAGATGCAGGTACCAGGACACTTGCTATACTGCACTTACAGAAATGAATTCGCGCAATGGCACTTCACCTCCTACCACTTGACTTCCCCGACCTCGTGAACCTCGTGGTTAGAACAGCTACAGCGAAGCCTCCCGCCGAAGAAGAACCCCGCCCCGTGCACTCGCTACCAAAGAAGAGAGCGGCCACAATTGATCGCACCCGCACTACACTTTGTAGATGCTGCGGAAGATACAGACACATGTTCAAACAGTGTCCTGACTATGTCTGCTGCGTATGCAGTGAGATAGGACTGGATCATCTATCGATCCATTGCCCTGAACTCAAAGGACACATTGTGCTCCAAGAGTTTTCAGATGAAGAGAAGTTCTTTGAAGCTCTCTTAGATTAGGAGCATAACCATAAAGCACTCATCGACCTCATGCTCACATTTCCTATACCACCTTCCCCTATGCCAGCGATACCTGTGCCAGCACCTCCCTCGACACCTGCACTATCCACCCAGACTATGGACAAAGAAGAAAAGAGAAAGAAGAAAAGAGATTATGGAGTGAAGTTGGTGACTTCACCATTAGTAACGGGGTAATGTTACAGTCTACTGTAACATCTACAGAAGCCCCTGCTCTGCTAGACTCCCGATGTGGCGGCACACTGCTAGAACTTAGAATGACAGTGGTCTGGACCGCTGTGACACCACCCCTGGCCTAGAAAGCCTTGTACCTGATCCCCAGAAGGCTGTACACCTCATGGACACCTAGACCGGCGCATGTTGCCTCATGCTGCCTCATGAAGATCTGGAGCGCCTCAAGGCACCTCATGTTTGATCAGAGGTTAAGCCTCATGTATCTTATCAGATCCTCATGGATGACCTCATGTACTGTTATCTATGACTCACCATGACTAGCATAGATCCCTAGATACAGACTGAGCTTGAACCCTTATGTACTATACATATATTTGGAGGCACAATATCGCCAATTGGGAAACTGTGTTGCAAGTTATAGACGAGAGAAGGGTATTTCTTAGTAAGGTTAAACACTTGGAGATGTGACTCGTAGGCCGAGGCTGTGTATGGAGTGATGATGTGATTCAAAATCTCAGATGCAAACTTTGGAAGTGGCTCCGTGAGAGGAGTCTCTGCAGATCGAGCACATGTGGACAACCTCACTTGAGTGCCTCAGAGCTTGGAACTGTCCGATGTTGAAAGAAATGCAGATGGGGGCTGAACTAGATTTGAGGATGAGTTTGCCTTGCCAGGCACTAATGACGGCATTGTTCTTTGAGGTGTGAGTGTGCATGCAGCTACTTGCCCTGTGTCTGAGCCGACCACAGATGATACAAAGGAGTTGGTTGGATGAAACTCCTTTGCCCTTGCGAAAGAACTTGTTGCTGTTGTCGCTCAAAGTAGATGCTTCTCCTGCATCAGGAAACCTACATTCCTGCTGATGTTCCTGTCCCCTACTGAACTGTCTGATATCAGACCTACAGGTAGTGCAGTCATGCAGCAATTGCTGAATTCAGTGCCATGCCTGAAATCAGTGGTAAACAGCCCTACAGACACTCAGAGGTACTGTTTGTGTACAATTCAGGATGTCAGTTTCTAAGAGATGTAATACATCAGATATGTAGATTAGTTTGGACAAAAGCCTTACAGCACATCACATAACATTAGGACATTATGATATTCAAAAACATCAAAAATACAAAAATCATATTCAAAGTAACTACTACATTGGTATCTACATTACTAACTAAAAGAAAAAAAAAGAGACTCACTAAAATAGACAAAAATGCGAAAATATCAAGGTCAAAAAGAGGTCAGGGAAAGAAGAGACTTACTGAAAAGACCAAAAATGCAAAAATATATAGCCTGGAAATAAGCAGGGAGTCAGTCTTCAAAGGAGAGGAGAGGAGAGGAGAGAAGAGACTCACCAAAAGGACCAAAAATGCGAAAATATATAAGCTAGAGGTGAGCAGAGAGTCAGTCTTCAGAGGAGAGGAGAGGAGAGACTCACCAAAAGGACTAAAAATGCGAAAATATATAAGCTAGAGGTGAGCAGGGAGTCAGTCTTCAGAGGAGAGGAGGAGAGGAGAGAAGAGACTCACCAAAAAGACCAAAAATGCGAAAATATATAGCCTGGAAATGAGCAGGGAGTTAGTCTTCAGAGGAGAGAAGAAAAGAGAAGAAAAGAAAAGAGAAAAGACTCACCAAAAAGACCAAAAATACGAAAATATATAAGCTAGAAGTGAGCAGGGAGTTAGTCTTCAGAGGAGAGGAGAGGATTAGATTGGAAACTTACCATTGCACCAATCCCAAAGCCCCATCCACACCAATATATCCCAACTTGAATATCCAGGAGTCTAACCTAAGAGCAAGGGAGGAAAAAAAAAAGATTGAAAAGGAAGAAAAAGAAGAGGGCAAGGAGACTTGAACAATGTCAAAAGACTTGAATTGTTGGATGCATTTTTGATTATATAAGCTTTCCCACCTAACTTCAACCAACATCACATGACTGCTTATATCATCAAAAATGCAAAATTTCACCAAGTCCCTGCCATACTATGGTACTAGACATTAACATTAGTATAGTAGTGTAGTATACATTGTATATAATAAAATATCATAGAGTTTATTTTAATATGTATCTCTAATGTAACTGCTCAGGAATCAGTTAGTAGTAAATTGTTATTGGATAATAGATAAACATCTGACATATTAAATGTTGAGCTCATTATAGTGTGCAGTGAGCGGGCATTTCCTAATTGGGCAATAGGGCGCTAGTGCAGATGTCTGCACTTGCACCAGGTACAGAAAAATTGTACATACTGCAAAATTATATATCTGTACTTCTGATAATCTAAAGACTAGTAAAGCTGATATTGCTGAATGACTGCATAATTTTCTTTTAAAAGTCTGACATGCCTGAACACTCTGTGATTTTTTTGGTCTGATAATCTGATGTTGCTGAATGACTGCATAACTTTCTTATGAAAGTCTGACATATCTGAACACTCTGTGATTTTGTTGGTCTAATAATCTGATGTATCTATACAACTGATATGTGCTGATTGTTACTGATATCAGACAGTTGTCTGATATCAGTCATGCAGGTAAATCAGGATATTCAGCAGAATTGTAGGTTTTCTGATGCTGGCGCAGTTTGCTCAGGTTTCTTAGGGGGGTAGGGCTGAAAATGAGAGCTGCTGGAGGCCATCAACTGAACCTCCAGCTTAGTGTCAATTTTGATCTCCTTCCAGCAATCAAGATATGTGGGTCTGTCCAGGAAGGTAAGAGTATTAAAGAACTTTCAACATGTTTCAATGTCGAATGCAAGAATGGCACGATAGTTTTCACTAAAGTCATCCCTTTCCGTGCAAAAGGCACGGTGGTCAATGAATTGTTGCACAATGGTCGGATCTGCTACTTGACGCATCAGCTTTATAAAATTCCTGAAGGCTTCGTTGAACTGATCCACTGGAAGGCTGGTTTCTGGTGGAAACCCGGATGATGTGGCATCCATGACACTTAATTTTGGATTGTCAAGGACTAAGCATTTGGTCATCTTTATGCAGGATGGATCTTGATGAATTTTGCAAAGTGCTGAAGGTGTTACAACACGTTGCATGAGTCCCCTGCCACCACGTACCCTCTGCCACTGTGCACGGTCATAGATGATACCAGGGTCTCACCAGCCCTATGATGATAGATGGATGACAATAGAAGATAAGCGGGAACCACCAGCTTAGATAAGCAGTCTGGACTGCATATGATGACATAGGTCTAGAAGACCTATTTATGTTATCAAGATAGAAGGCAAGCCTTGTGTTGCCTCATGTACTGATAGAAGGATGCCTTGAGGATCCTATCTTAGATAGAAGCCTGCCTCATGAACACTATCTCTGACTCATATAGATAAGCAGATTAGAACCCAGCTTTAGGCTGAGCTTAGATACAAAGAGTAGCCTTATATAAGGTCGAAGATTAAAGTAGATGTTCCTTACTTTAATCTTACTTGGTGTTCCCTTGAACTCCTTGTCCTGCTAAAGCTACCTGCTCGACATTGACCCCAAACCTTCAGAGAAGCCTCTCTCTCTGTCTGTAATCACTATTATCTCTGTGTAACCCCTCGTTCCCACATGAGCTACATTTGAGTACTCAACCTTTGCTTATCTGTAAAGGCCGACGACTCTCAGTACTCGGTACCACTGTCGTGGTTGTTGCTGTTAGAACTATCCAAGTGGCACACGACCTCGTGTCATAACAGAAGGGGTGAGAACTGTCAAAGGTACGTGAATTTTGGCCTTGGCAAGGTTGAGAATAGGACGTGGGATTTCATAAGTGGATTCAAGGGAGGACACGATTCTAGTGTTTGATTGTGTGAAGGTATACACGTCGTTTGAGTTGCTAGAAGAAGCAGAAGGAGCTACAGATGATGCGCAAGGATCAGGTACGTAATAACAGGTTCATCAACGCCAGAGACATCAGGGAATCGGTGAGGAGTAGGTTTTTATAGATATAAATGGCAAAATTAAATCACATGTCCATCAGATTATATCTGTACACAGAGTGATAAACAATCATGGCGAAATGGCACAGAAGGACAAGAAGATACAAGAGAAACCTAATTTTGATGAAGGTGTATATGTCTTACAACTGCGATATATAATAGATAAACTATTCAAAGAGGTCCTGCATCTCTCTAAAGTGCTGGTCACCCATTGACAAAGCTCAACTTTATTATGGTTGTTTGCAATGGCCTGCAGGTGCGCATAAATAGTTGTAAAATATGTGTAATATTGGCACTAAATAGTTATTATTCATAATGGTGATGTATCCAAGTCAAATACAAGCACTTCTCGACTATGACAGTCACAAGTAGTCACCTCTGGATACCTACTGTCTAATCTGAACTTTGCAAATGATCGATTGTAGGGATGACATAACATTGAAATCAATTGGTCGTTCCTCATAGTTTTGATGTGTCTACAATAATGACTACCATTCTGCCTGTGTAAAGACTGAGCGTCCCAACAATGTGATGGACCTACCACACTGCTACACCATCCCAGTCAGAATGAAGTTCGAGTGCAATGGAATTGAACTACCATGGCGCCTATTCCATCACCATAAAACAAACAACATCTGTACTATGAGAACGTGGTTTGTCACCATACAAAACAGAAGGAGAAAATGATGAACATATTTGAATTACTAGTAAGACCAGGAAAGACTGCATTCGTTAGCTATCCCATTGAAACTAGACCTGAAAGGGCAGCTCGTGCCAGATATATGAGTTCTATGTAGTAGTATGTCGCAGCACGTTCCATTCTAGCTTTTAAAAACATCCTCCAAAATAAAGATAACTGGTCACTGGGGCCATGTCCTGGATAAGCCTGGGCTATAACTTGCAACCACCAATACAAGTAAGAAACAAATCACCACACCGAGCATAGTAAAGCATGTGATCATTAATGGTGTGGATGGCTTGAAGTCAGCAGCAACACCTGCGAGAAATCCAAGGATAGAACTTATTACCCTAGTAGAAATTCTATGAGTGACACAATCATAGTCGAAGCTTACTGACCTCAGTACACAAAAGCAAGTTGGTATACTTGTAATGATGATCAACATCATCATCTTCCTTTGCAAGTAATATACCTGTTTGATAAGCAAGGTCAGGCTCAAGCTGCAGTAATATGGTGCGAAATGAACTGCGAAGTCAATGGATCTCATTCTCTTGCCAAAGTGTTGCACCATTGTAGCAGTGAAAATGCAGCCAACACCCAAGAGTAAGGAGCAGGAACACAGAGTCCATGAGGTTACTGTCGTCCCTAGACCTGGAATGGCAAGAATGGTGACATCCATGGCCACGGAGACACCTGCCTGTCAGAAACCGATAAGTTGTGAAGCATATTTGTGACACTGACACAGCACTTACCAAAGTGATCTGACTCTTAGCTTGGCCACTAAAATCGTCAATAAAAGTCCTGATGTCCACCCCATTTACAATGCCATCAATGGAGGTATTTCTGATGTGGTCAATTGTGATAGGCATGCACAAGATCGTAGCTGCAGTATTGCTCACGAAATAGAGAGCTTTACATGTCCTAGGTTTCTCTATCACTGCATGACCTCAAATAAGGTGAGCCTCAGGTTGGTTGTGGCGGTTCAGATACTGGTAGTGGCCTATAATGCATGTTAGTTCTGTGACATCTGATCTATGAAAGAGTGGCCTACGTAGCATGTACAATATTCTGCCTGTTAGCGAGGAGATTAGTATTTGAGATGCCCAGTTATGCTGGGCTCACGTACAACAGAGCACAACACCAGTATCCTCAATGACTCCATTTTCTGCAAGGGCTTCTATTTCTCAGTCGTCGCGATGTTTGCTGGACAAGACAAAGGCACATACCGACACTGGCAAGTTGTGTGTCAACCTGCCTCATTTGGTCTAGAGTCCAAAAAATTGTAGCTGCAGTAGACTGGCTCAATGTTGTTGCTTCTGATGTGGATTCAGGTAACTCTGGTTGTCATTGCAGTGATATAGAGCTTACCTCCAAGGTAACAAAGAATTTCTCTGCATGTGCGTCTCACTTGTAAGTTTGTCATGTGGAACCTGTGTGGAAAGAATTCTATGTGTCTCCTGCCAAGCAGTGAGACAATTTTTGTCGAGCGCTCACCAATATTGAGCCTCGAGTTTGAGCCCTGTATAATCACAATCAAGAACAAAAACATGTAATCGCATAGCAACCTACTCTTATACCTCCATTCACTTGCCTGAATACACTCTCAGAAAAGAAGGTAGCTGTCCAAATCCTTGAGCCAGGTAATGGTGCACAGGCTGTGGACCACGTAGTAGTATTGGTATACTTCTTCATCCCTATAGTTCACTTGATGAACAACTAGTACCCACTTGTCCTCTTTTGCTACCGCTCTTGATACGTTGATAAAATCTTTGAGCCTTTGTCGATCCATATGCCATATATTCATTGATGTATAGGTGTTCTAAATTGCAGTCAAGTAGATATATCACGTACAGGGTCGGCCATGGCTCACCTTTTTATTATGATAGTAATAAGTTCCCCCCAAGGGATGGACCAACTCCTCCCAACCACTCCCATACAATTCAGGCCTGTTAAGAACGTTCAAATTAACATCATTACTAGGAACAAAGGTCACCAATGCAGGGTCATTGATGCGCCTCATAGGAACCAAGTGGTCTTCATGACCATTTGTACTATATAATAAAAATGATATTAGACTTAAATTTTTGATGTGTCAGTAGATGCGTACTCACAGCATTACAGGCTCAGCATACTGCAGTAGTTGCATCAGCCAGATTCCAAAACTACGGTCCAGCAGCCCCGCCACATACTATTGAGAGTATTGAGTTGCCTAGAATATAATAATAGCATCCTGAAACCTGAGGACTGTACAACATCAAAAGGCACAATCATATTGGAACGTACCATGTCTCCCAATTTACAAACAATAATAATTGATTGTTGTGTGTGAACAATGAGAACTTGAGAGCCAAAAGTGCCTAGTAACTGTTATTATTCCTTTTTTAGTATCGATTATTCTGATGAGTAGTGGTACTACTGCACCAAGTCCATTTCTGGCAAACTTTACATTCCAATTTTAAATCCAAAATATACAACGGTACAGATTAGTAGCATTCTACAACCATACACGTGGTAGTGTTTGTACACCCAGTTCCAAACAGACACATTCTTGACTGAATCTGCAATCATGAAGCCCTCAGGCTGCCCTACGCCTTACTGAAACCTTATTGGAAGGGACCATCAGCCTTTCGCCCAGACGTTCAGGAGGCAACAAGACTCAAGTTACATATGACGTCTCTTCGTGAGTGCCATATATTCAATCTCATGCATGCGGTTAGCGAAATGAGGAGGTATGTCGAGATGAACTTGCCCATGTCATTTGGCTTATGGGTCTAAGTCACATGATCAATAAAGTAATGGTTTGTTCCATATTTCTAACGCATGGGCAAATTGCAGGCTACAGTTTTGTTACTTGTCCCATATAAACCTCAAGAGCAGACATTGTCAGTACTGTTGCTTTATTTGCCACGTATAATCTCATGTTTGTCATGATAGGTTGTTATTGAACATGAATATTTACTTGCTGGGGTTAAAGGGCAACAGCCCATTGTGAAGGTAAGCCTCTCATCCAAAAGACAGATTTGTGATCCTTAATCTTTAATTCCAGGGTCATCTTTACAGCCTCATTGACATGGCAAACTCGGTGTGGTAACTCAAAACCTGCAACTCGCATCTTTCTGCTCGGGAGCATACCACATCGATCATATCTACAGCATCCACCCAATCCTCTTTTGCCTTCATGACTGACCCAGAAATTTCGAGCAGCTTTGCGGCTTCTCTCTGGAAATTAGCCAAGTGTCCAATGTACAGGAGATCATAGCTCTTTCACCCACATTATCATCGCCCATATCCTCGCCTGAAGAGCACACGAGCAGTGCAAGTTAACGCCACTCTATCTCTGTTACTTTTGGTCCTGCATCACCTTTATTGCCCGTACTTCTGCCTTGTTTTCATTCTCATCCTTGGAGTCACTACTCTAATGCAGGAAGACTCATAATGCTTCATCTCGAGAAGGAGCGGTCAAGTAATGAGGGTTCAATGTGTGTACAGTCTTGCAATGACAGCTCCGGAGCACAATCAATTCAGATCCCCTGGAAAACAGTGAGTTAGAAGTAATCTATACATCATACTTGGAAACTTTAGAATCCTCACCTCCTGTGAACCCATCACTTGGTAGGATGGTGCATTCATGCGGCAGAGCAGTGAGGACTGCTGTTACGACTAGGATAGTTCTAACAACATGAGCATGAATGTGCTGCCACATGCTGAGGGTGTCTTACAAGTCAATGAATGTCGACAGGTCTCTCCATCTATCTTGGTAAGGTTCTACGGCCTCGTCAAGATGAAGGGCTAGCAAGAATACAGCTAAGGTGCGGGGAGCAACTTAGAAGTGTGATCAAGGATTCAAAGAAGCAAGTTGATTAGATGAGCTAGTTCTGGGGAAAACCTAGTAGATCAAAGTGAAGAAATACAACAGTGATCTGTCTACTTATATATGTCTGTACATAAGAGTTTGGGCTCAGTTGGTATCTAGGGATCTATGCGAGTCATGGTGAGTCAGAGATAAACAGTACATGAGGTCGTCCATGAGGTAGATAAGATACATGAGGATCAACCTCTGATCAAGTGTGAGGCACCTTGAGGCACTCTGGGTCTTCATGAGGTGGCATGAGGCAACATATGCCGGTCTAGGTGTACATGAGGCAGACAGCCTCTGGAGATCAGGAACAAGGCCTTCTAGGCCATGATGAGGTTGTAGCAGTTCCAGACCGCTAGCATTCTAGGTTCTGGCGGTGTGCCACTGCATCTATGAGTCTAGCAGGGTGGGGACTCATGCAGATGTTACGGTTGACTGTAATAACTAGGCATTAGCATGGGTATGGGTAGTTGGTGGGTTGGGTATGGGTTATGGTCTCATGACCCACCACTCTACCCATACCCACACCAGATACCCACACCATGGGTCATGGGTCAAGCCTCAAATGTCAAACTTTGGCAGAATTATGTAAGATCTATACATAGTTTTCGTACACAACGTAAACCTTAATCTCAACAAGTCATCGATCATTCCTATCACCTCAAATAGCCAAATCCTTCCTAATGTTTGGTAAACGTCAGCCGAAACCCACAGAGAAGGCCAAGGAATTCTTTCAGTCAGTCAGGAAGGCTGTCAAATGCAAGCGAAGTCATGGTGATCAGCTCACCTCCAACAAGGCCAAATGAGCACCTGTTGCAGCTGCAAGTGACTCCAAACTTGAAGAAAGCTTAGGGCTATCTATATTAAAAAAGGCTCCCGTCAGAAGCAAGAACTATTCTGTTGACATTTGAAGTGAAGATGAGGAGGAGGAACTTAATCATGAAGCTGACATCATCGAGATTTCTGCACCGACATCCTCCAACACAAGTGCCAAGGCCAACGAGTCTGAAAGTGAGACCGAGTGTCCCGAGGAGGATTCCGAGGCTGAAATGAGTTAGTACCTGTACACAAAACTATTGCTTAATTAATATCATGTTCACAGAGTGCTTGAGCAAAGAATGGCTCTCATCTATCTATGCATTCTTTGAGCCATTCCCTACCATCGGACATGAGAACAAACACCGTTACCACGAGTTTAAATGTCTTGCGAAAGGATGTGGCAAACGAATACGGCGCTACCTAGACAAAAAGGACGCCAAGTCAACCAGCAATATGTGCAAACACGCATGTACCTGCTGGGGAGATGAGACGGTCAAGGCTGCAGATGATGCCAAGAGTTCTGATATTGCTCGCGAGGCAATTGTCAACAGAATCCTAAAAAATGGGTCGATAACAGCTTCATTCAAGCGCAAAGGAAAAGGCAAAATTACATACTCCCACCGGCAGCATACAAAGACTGAAACAAAGTAAGTACTCACTATATAAACTCCTGGATGTGAGGTTGAGCAGCAATACAGGGCAGAGATAGTTCGGTGGGTGTGCGAGAGCGCACGTCCATTTGATATTGTTAAGGATCGGGGCTTCCAATCCTTGATGAAGACTGGCCGCCCTGAGTACTATTTACCTTCCCATCAACCATTTCACAGGATGTCAAGCTAGTATTCGCACGAACACGTCAACGAATTGCCACAATGTTAAGGGAACATGATGGCTGACTCAACTTTGCCACTGATGCGTGGAGTTCGCCCAATCACAAGGCTTTTATAGCCCTATCAGTTCATTTTGAACACGACAGAATACCTATTGCGATGATATTAGACATTGTCGAAGTTGCGGAGGTGAAAATTGGATTGGACTTACCATAACACGGCCACTGATATGCAGCAGTCTCATTCAGGCATGGTCCTCACAGAGGCATTCGCTAATGTTCTGCATGAATTCGGAATTGATGACAAGGTCAGTATAGTGTTTAATGAAATGTGCAGAATACTCACCTACCTATGCACCAGATGTTAAGCCTTACCACTGACAATGCAGCTTCAAACGACACAATGACAACACACCTTTCTGAGCTCCTTCCCTCCTTCGGTGGCGAGCCAACATGAACTCGTTGTTTTCTACATATTGTAAATTTAGTCGCAAAGTCAATTCTAAAGGAGTTCGACTCACAGCCGAAGACAAAGCAAACAATGATATACACGACAGACGACAACAATGACAATGAGTTGGACAGCAAGTTGAGCAAAGAACTGTCGTCAACACGTGAGGACGACAAGGTGCATGGGGACGACGATGAAGGTATAGATGATGATACAGATGGGTGGGTTGATGAAATGGAGGAGATGGGTGCGTCTGAGCGCAAAGTCCTAAGGAAACGCTTGCAACTGGTCAAAATCATGCTTGTCAAGGTAAGTGCAACTCCCTTTCACTCACCACTACTAATCCCTCCAACAGCTTCGTAAACTTTCCTTTAAAATTGTTCACTCAACAACAGTCTTGCTGCCAGTGTGGAAGGGGTTGTTAGAAGAGCTACAACGACCGGTTAGGATTATGCCACATGACGTGGCAACACGGTGGAACTCAACATATGACTTAATCAACTTCACCATCGAGTATCGGACAGCCATTGAGGAGATGACAGCCAAGCGTGAGCACAACTTAAGGGTGTTTGAGTTGTCAGTAGAGGAGTGGAAGATTGCATCTGACCTGCAGGAAGTTTTGCAGGTAAGTACACTTAGGATTTCGCCACATTGACCAGTGCTCACGCAATACTTAATACTCTAGGTTTTCAAGGATGCTACGACCTTCTTCTCACGCTCCACACCCAACCTCGCTACTGTCATCCCCGCTATCGACCATATCGACGAAATGCTCTTGGCCCATGAATCCAGCTCATCTCTGAATCGTGCTGTACAATCTGCGCTCACTCTTGGCAAAAAAACACTTGACCACTACTATTCATTGACAGACAAATCTGATGTGTATCGTGTGGCCATGGGTAAGTGCTCTCCCTTACAGGACTACTTACGTTTGATGATAATTACAGTGTTGCATCCTCGTCATAAACTTCAATATTTCAGAATGGCCCAGTGGGATCAAGATTGGATCGCGACCGCAGAACAACTCATCCGCAATGAGTTTGATCTCAACTATGCTAACTTAGATGTTCCAGATGGAGGCATGGAGATAGACGACACCGAGCATTCAGTTGCCAAGGTATGTAGCGAGAGCAATCTATTTTTTTCTACTCATACCTACTAGTCACAGGATAAACCTCGCAACATATTTGATGCACTTCCCACCCTCGCTGCACCAAAGAGATCACAACTCCATCATGAACTAGATGCCTACCTCGCGGGTGATCCAGAGCATGTACTGGACGTCCTCACTTGGTGGCACGAGCATCACAACACGTACCCACGATTATCATGAATGGCTCGTGACTATCTTACAATACCTGGTGCGTGTTCGAAATTGTGTTATATATTAAAATTTTAACACGTCGTGTAGCGACATCTGTAGATGTCGAACGGATATTCAGCCGTGGTCGCCTCTTGCTCTCCCATGTGCGCAGCCGTCTCTCTTCTCAATCCATTCATGCATTGCTGTGTCTTGGTTGCTGGAGCCTTATGGGTCTCGTCAAAGACAAGGATGTGTTAGCTGTAGCCATGTTAGCAGATGTTGAAGGTGACAAAGATGCTCTCGATGATGGGTGGGATAACATTCAGCTCTGACCTATGCTACATACATTACAAGCACTCCGTTTGCCTGTGGACAGTCCATTTTGATTTGTTACAGCCACAAACAATTGTAAACTATGTTTGCCGTTTCCCTTTCCTCCTTCGACACTGACCATAATGTTCTGATATCACGACGATTCCGATAGTGCAGTGTATATCTGACCATGTGCAAATACATCCATGTGAAGGTCGACCACCGCCCGTTGCAGAGTTAGACCCTGCGAGCCGTTGAACGTCGTCGTGTATGCGGCTCTCAGTGGAATATATGTAGATGTGTACTTTGAATCGCTCATTAGCATGCTTACCTAATCAGTAGTACAACATTCAACTTATGATGATAATGGGATTTCAACACTAAATGATACTAAACCCTTGGGTTATCCACCATGGGTACAAGACCCACCAAACCCATACTACCCACACCACAACCCATGACCCACGTAACCCTTGGGTGGTGGGTATGGGTAATTGGTGGGTATGGGTATGGGTCAGCTCATGGCAACCCATGGGTTACCCATGCTATTGCCTAACTGCACTACAATCACATAACATCCTTGGGGCATTGGCAGCTTTGATCCAACACAATCCGGTGTAGAGACTGACATCTCTGTGGCCTCGTAGAGAGCTAATTCTACAACACCCTAATCACCTTCCAAACACAGCGCGACTCGTATCTCGTTTCTGCACACTTGGCACTTCATCAGCCGCTTGCGCATACAGGCGCTTCGGTTGCACATTGGCACATGTATCCTCGGTTCCGTCACTCGTCCTCCGTCTATCCATTCCATGTCCATTCAGTTCGTCGGTGCGTATTCCTATCTTATTCTCATGTATTCTGACATACCTCCGGTGCTTCCACACACAATTCCATATGTTTTGTCACGGATCCTTATTTACATATCATCACGTACTCACTTTGCTTTCCGGCTTGCTTTAGCGCTTAACGCTACTTACAATATATATACTCATGCCTCGATGTATAATGATTATCTTCTTCTTCCCGCATAACATTGGACTCTAAGTCTAAATCTCCACCGTATCTGCCAACCGACACTAAGCGCCAGAGCCGACACGAGCGCCAGTCCTCATATTCTTATATACAAATGTTGTCTTACCTGTTCCCTGACTCACTTAAGAGTCACTGCGCTCCACCACCCACACACGCACTTCGCTCTCACTCAGCGCGCACCATCGTACTTGTTGCTCAATAGTGCTCCATAGCGCTTTCACTTATCGCACTTCGCTCATCATCGCGCACCTCACCAGGCTTATCCGACAGCCCGGTTCAGTGTTTCCCTCCACTATTACATATAGAGGAACCTTCTCAGTAGCAATCCCCTTGGGCCGACATTAGATTCGCGCACAGAGGACCATCTGAGTATATCTCATACTACCCACTTCTTACCATTCTACATTCCTCACCTACACTGGCCATATAAAGCTTGATCTGACTTAGACATTCATCTGGAGATTGTGAAGGAAGAAAAAGTAGTCAAAGGTTACATTGGGCAGGAACAATTGTAGCAAATTGCAACTAATACACAGCTAGATAACTGATGGTGACTTCTAACAACTAAATATTCCCTTGTCAGGGCTGGTGGCTTTTGCAACCTGTCCCATTGTGATGATAAGCTGGCAGGTGGTTGCAGTGAGACTGTCACCAATGTGCATTTGGTGAGTTCTATCCAACTTAGTCTGAGTATTTAAAGCTTTCTCATTTGGAGTAAAATTCTGACAGATTTTATATGCATTTTACTTTAGATAATTCTTTGTCAACCTTTATCTTTTTCATGTTGGTTCCCTGATGGATGGTATGTATGAGCTTTCTAGTGGTAGGAGTAAGTGAACCAATGTAACCATAAGCCTTAGCAAGTCTTTTAGCAAGAGAAGACGTAGGGGTAGGTGTAACAGGCGGTGTTATAGGTTCTTCTAAGTAAGACTCGTCATCATAGGGGACTTTGACATGGTCCAGGTCAGCCCTTTGTTGGGCCCTGAGAAGGTTACGCTCAGAACGCCGAAGGTGCTCAGCTATAATGGCTTCCCAATCGTCAAAGTCGATGACCCTCTGTACTTGACCCAGGGCATTAGCCAGGTCATTGACCTCGTTGTCTGACATATCCCCATCATGGTCAGGGTTTAAGCGGCTGACATCTTTACCTCCTGCTCCTCGAGGGGCAGCAGAATTCGTAGTCCCCAGACATTACGTTAATACTGCTATAAAAATAGAGGTGGGAGGGTTTGATGCGCCCGAATTCTCGCTTGAGAAAAAAACCTTAACTTGAAGCGAGCGGGGCGAGATGAAGGAAAAAGACAAGATACGTGTACTGTCACGTGTTACATCTTATATCACACACTCGCTTAGTAAGCACTTGTTTGAGCTAACTCACTCGCAAGCTCACTAGTTGGCTCAAATGGCACACTGAGTATCACAATGGAGGTGTATAGGCGTAGCAATTGAGTGTCACAACACTCTGAGTCAAAGAGTGTACAAAGTTGGGTATATTCTTAATGTAATGTATAATATGGTCGGTGTTGAACATTGATTGAAGGCACATGCCGGTTTAAATAGAGTATCAGTTGTGGTGTGGTTGAGTTGTGGATCACTCTGGTAGCCGGACAATGGATTTTGAATATGTCATTGTTGGCCTAAATTACTGATGAGTCAAGTTTCGAGAGCTCAACCAAAGTATTCAGGGCGTGACCTGAATTAGTGATGTGCCGGCCCAGCTTGGCCTGAAAGCCGCGGCTTAGGCCTGGCTTGGGGAGGTTTGGGCTTTGAAAAACCTCAGGCCGAGCTGTGGGCCAAAGCCATGGCTCGGCTTGGGCTCATTCACGGCTTTCAAGTACAAAATGATCTAATATTCAATCTAAGCATATTTGTAATGGTGAGATACTAAAGAACCAGACGAGCGAGAGTAGTACCATGGTAATTGGCATAAATTGACTGAATGGAAAGATAAACTGCAGTGACTTCAGAAGTTTCATGACCCACATAGGGGAATGTGATGCAGAAACTCGGTGAGCTGCCGAAAAAGAAGACTCTGCATGAGAGCTTATAACGTAGCGAAGGCGTTTGAGAATAATTCGGAACCTTGGGAGTGTCAACCTCAAGAATGGCACTTTTTGATCATCCTGACTCACTTTATTTGTGGCAAGGTCGACGACAATGTTACTTCAGCAGAATCTATATTCATTTTCGGCTTGTTGAAATTGACGGTGATACCTACACATATTACAGTGACCTATCTCCGTATAATACGAGGGAACGGACGTGCATAATATCCCATATGATACGGGCCAGCGGACCATGGGGCCATGATAAAAATATCCTCGACTGTGACGGATGGGCCGGGAGGCAAATTATTCCCAATGGAGGCGGGTGGGCCCATGCAGGGAATATATAGAGTAGATGAGTGGGCCAATGTACATGAATATTAGGTAGACGGGTGGGCCGAGGTAGTTGGATATTATGCAGATGGGTGTATTAAGGTAGATGTGTATGAGATAGATGGGTAGGTACTTGTTATCACATTCACGGGTGGGCCCAGACACATATTAAATTAGACGGGTGGGCTGAGGGTATTATAAAATATTGTATTAGACGGGTGGGCCGAGGGTGGTATAAAATATAGATGGGTGGGCCCATGTGTATCATAATTGTAGACATGATGGAGCTGAGGTAGTTGTACATCAACCAAATCAGAGGAGGTAATAGATCAAAGTTACCAAGTTCCCGGAGCAGCAGGTGATCTCCTGACATGGCCTTTGATGGTGCACAGGTTGTCTTGCAGAATGTGGAATCCAGGGTGCGAAGCTTGTGTTGCCCTATGAGAAGCCAAGTTCCGACCACCAAAATGTGAGTCAACCGTACTCAGAGGAGGTAATAAATCAAAGTTACCGAGTTCCCGGAGCAGCAGGTGATCTCCTGACATGGCAGTGCGAAGCTTGTGTTGCCCTACAAGACGCCAAGTTCCGACCACCCAAATTTGGGTCAACCGTACCGACTTCCGAGTTCCGGGACCCGGGAGTCGACAAATGAATATCTGATGACCAGCACACTTCCAATCAGGTAGTATTTCATTGAGCAATGGATAATAATACATCTTTGACAGCCAAAATTATCCCAGGCTCCCTTATCTGATCCTCTCTATCTCCACCCCCTTTAACACCAAAGTCCGGACATCCAGCATTCAGCGTCTGATTTCCCAAGATTAA